GGGATATGACCACTCGGATCATTATGTAACGAATCCAGATCCTATATTGAGGATGATCGACTTAATATGTTACCTACTCAATATAACCTTTTTCCCCGCTCTCCAATAACATTACTTGATAATGAGCATAAAAAAAGTACATGCATCAGATACCCTATAATCAGTTATATATACATTCAGCTTCTTCAGTTGTGGCAGCTTTAAATACGAATGGATATATTCGTTTATGTGAAAAGTTTTCAACTAATTTCCAAAATGCTTTGAAACATCATGCATATGTTTTACTAGGACAAGAGGATATATCTGTCAAGATTAAGAGGAATACACATTCCAGTATCTATCATAGAATGATATCAGTTGGAGAAACACTGGAAACCTGGGAGCACTGGAAAGCTGTTTCGTCCTAATCTGGTACTTATCAACAGTGCACACCTATGACCCTACGGGGAATCGAACCCAGGACCTTAAGGTTCAGCAACCAGTAAGTTACCAATGAGTCGCATTTCAACGGTACACATTACCTATTTATTTATTTTGTGTAAACGAAGCGCATATTGGCCTACGAAAAATGTCGTTATGTATTTTTGTAGTACATATTAAAGTTCATTTGATGTAGCTGGCATCCGAATTTCGAATGATGCGGGGCTGAAACAATTTCATTAGTTGCATCAGTCTCTAATTACTGTCAATTATGAATCAATTTTCGCGGATAATCTGAATGTCACTGTTGATCTCCGTCACCACTTCCTCATTCAGCGTCGTTCATCATTTCGTAAAATTAACTACTATTAGAAATTCAAGATATTTTTGAGTCATCTTAATTTATTACTATATCCTTTGAGTAAAGAAATGACCAAACACGTTGAATATTTTCATAAAAAAAAACTGCATATATTCAGACAGTTGCATCTAACTACCTTACGAATACCCATGCAGCAGGCACTAAACCGCACCTATTGTTTAAGGGTTGCTGATACTACGTCGCTGCCCAAACCACGGCGTGGGACGGGACTTGAACCTAAAACCGAATGACTGATTGTCATCTCCCTAAACCACTGAGCCATAGCTTCGTAATGCTTACGATTACGATTTTAGGTATTGGAGAATGAAGTCATTCAAAAGATTCTATTCGCTAAGCTACTTGTTTCTGATAATCTACTGTGAATACAAACTTTGTGATGAATTGTGATGACCAATTTATGAGAACAATTCTGGAGGTTGGCACCAGCTTTTTAGGCGACTGGTTGGAATGTATTCATTTAACGAAGTGCTTTAAATATTGACGGGTAGGTAATTAACAAACGATTAGAAAGTGCCAAACATTGGCATTAATCTTTATCATAAAGCAGATAACAACACCAACGGCTTGTAATATACGATCTTTAAAATGCAATAAGAAACTTCATTCAATACATTTCCTTGATTATTTTTACTACAGTTAGAACAAGATTTACAGAATAAGAGGAACTCTTCGTACACTGTGGAAGATGGCTAAACATAATGTTTGGAATTTATCAAGTGTCAGTCAAGTTATAAGAAAAAGAGCTTTCTTTCTGTGCTGCACTTAAGTACACATTCACAACTTTCTTTTCCAAAAGTTATTCTACTACTCTCGTTACCTACAGGATGTTCAGTAAAGATGATTACAAACAATGGATTTAATAAATACTTAGGCTAAGAAAACAAGAGGTTAAAGTTTAATACATGCACATAGTCTCACTAAATGTTACGCACTGCTTATAGTCCTTGATATAAATGTAATGTTCAATACTTATGAGGTTCCTAATAAGAACATTATACTTATAGTAAAGCTGTGGCTGACTGGTCTAGAGACTTGAATACCAGCCGATGGGTTACTGGTTTTAACTCCGCAATAGGTGTGGCTCATTACCAATTGTATGAAAGTGCACGTGGTCACTGAGAGTATTTCGATGTTTTTTTCTTATTATACCGATAACATCACCTGAAGTTTCTTAGTACTCTATGAACATCGAGCGGTTAAGAATAGGAAGTGAAACCATTCAGCTGCAAGGCAGGGCAGAGTTGAAAGAGGAGGTAAACAAAATACTGAAATTCAACAACTGCAATATTTGAGCATTTATATTAGCCTACGACTCAGTATAAGCCTTCAAATACCATATGAATTTCTGAACAGTTATTTGTCACTGTAAGCAAGTAATTAATGGGTATGCACAATTTCGGATACAACTTATACGTCTAATTATGGAAATTACATACAGTAATCTTTATTCAAATTAAACAATTGTTTCAAACAAGTAACGCACATCACAATGAAGCAGAAAACACTTACACAAAAACACCAAATAAGAAACATAAAGTTTTAGCTTTATAAAAGAAAAAATTGTAAAACATTCCTACTATTTGAAGAACTATATATGAACCAGAACTATTAGACAACCTCCAGTAAGCCTAGTATGAGAAGAAGAACTAATTCAAGCACAAATTTTATAAAAAGGTCAAGTCGAAACTCATTAAACAGGTGAAGATACATGTAGATATTAATGGCATAAGATCTATACTAGATTTCCTGATAAAACGAATATATAAATCAAACGTCGAAAAGCAAATGTAGCATTAACAGACAGATAAAATCAACGTAGAACATTGTGCAGGAGTGCATCGGTTCGAGCTTCTGCACTTCACAGTCTCACACAAAGAACAAGTGGGTAGAGAGAATGATATTGAAGTGTATGAAAAGAGAAATGAAACAAATGAAAGTTAGACGATGTCAAGGTGTGAATACATTGGGAAAATTGTGGCCAGTCTCCCACTATGTCACCAAGGATCTTCAACCATTGATTCCTACTACTTCGATATCCATAGTCATGCAGAAAACACCTCCCTTGATGACTCACAACTAGTCACAGACCTCCTGAACTAGTACCATATTTTGGTCAGGTCACCCATGAGCTTTCTTCCAACCCAATCTAACTTCGGCTATCATTGCATGTTGAGGTAGGCGATGCCACAGATTGAGCAACATATGTCCAAGTAATATTAATTGGTGAATTTCACAATCTCATCGATTGACTTGCCTAATACCCTCCACCTAACCTCAACATTGCTAACACGGTGATAATATGGAATCACATTCTACCATGATGCCCCATTTCTATATGTCCAACACAGGAAAAGGTTCTAAGACCAGAGGAAGCATCTCTTAAACCAAACTGGATAAAACCTACTCTAAGCTGAATGTAAGTGATAACGATCTAACAAGTAATACAATCTTGAGTTCATGGTCAAAAAAACCCACTTCCTTCATAAACTACAATCAACGCTTCAGTAAACGAACAACCCAATAAGAAGCAGTTGAGTCAACAACACTCATGTTACCTGAAATCTTCGTTAAGTGGAATTCCATAATGATGTATGGAGTTAGGTTCATGAAAACCCCAGCTTAAAGCGGAATAATCCTACCGTAGAGTAAACACCCGTCAAAACGAAACTGTAGCTGGAACTTGGAACACTTACAAAGACAGTCGTCCCAGCACATTTGTAAAAATGATAAAGTTCCTGTAGTTCCTTACATCAAAACAATTACTTTCGGTTAGGTATGAAACACTTTAACTCGAATAGATAACTCAGAAAACGTTTCTGAAGATCGATGGAAACCAAGTCGATTGAAGTAGGCTTTAGTTACAAAAGAATTTATGACACTGTAGCGTCATACACTTCTCCAGAATCTAAAGCCTAGGGTTTGACGAGATTCAACATTGATGCTGACCTTCATAGTTTCACTGGACTCGCTAAGCTGAAGGCACCCGGTGAAGCATCCTCACCATTTGGCAAGCTATCTTGTGACGACCTCGCAAATTTACTATCCCATTCGATTACTCTATTGTTTTCTTTCTTGGTCTCATATTCGTGGGTATATATCAAGTTCGAATAATTAGTGGTTGGTCTCTGTGTCTGTCAAGTTCGCACCAGGACAATTCCTAAATCAACATAGCCCGCTAAGGAGGTGGAAAAGCTGCTACAATGGGGATTAAACCACCCTACCCTGATATTCAATCCTGTTTCATGAAGATCACTTAACTGGAACTCTGAAAATACAGTTTTCCTTTACCTGCAGGTGATTTACTAAAATACTCTAAATTAAGAATTCTATGCATCAATGAATCAATAATCGATAAGTTTATACACTGATACTATATATTTCATTGTAGTTTCTTTTTTGCTTCACCTTAATTTCATTCTAGTCAACCTATCTGAAACCATAAGGAAAATGAAAACATATTCGTTTAATATCCCTTGAATATGCAATACACATTTAATTTCCAACATAAATCCCAGTTTCTAAAATTTTAATTATCGTTTCACCACTTACATTTTTCAACACTCATTTGAATGTTCATTGAGGGCTTCATTCTTGTGTCAATCAGTAGTTTCTGTATTCATACAAAGTGGGAAACATGTTTGAACTGGAATAATCTAACCTTTATACTTTGGGTGTATCTAAATAGTTTGAAGCTGCCCTATTTATTTATGATTGCAAAATAGAATTAGTGAGAGACATACCACACAGAGGTCTCTTAATTCAGTCATAACACCTAAACTGATAAAAATAGCAATTGTAGTTTCTCTTCACTCAGTTTACTGGCCATATTGTAAACTTGATTCATGCATCTCTGTAACTGCTGTGGACTACGAAATAGATAGCTACACTAGTTGTCCTCTTTTAACCGATTCATGTACACAGTTCTACAGAAAGTGGGTTGGAGCTTAAATAACTTAGTTGTAAAAGTTCTGACTTCAGTACTGGATACTTCATGTTCGTGTCATTAAAAAGAACCAATTTCTTCGTGGTTACAGATATACCTCGTTGATCAGTGAAGAAAGGAATAAAATCTAGGTTCAGCGCATTCTACCGATTGACTTTTAACATTGGAAATGAAAAACCTAAATGTCATAGTTTACGTCTATCATCAGGTACCTTTTGAAAACTGAATGTAAGAGAACACCAGAACAAGAAAAATAGCACCAAAATACATATTTACACAATCAAACAATAAAATAACCTTCTACAGAACACGAAATTTGAATTAAAATGGAAATATACGCCAGTAAACAAACTCTAATATTATCAGTACTGAAAACCAGTAATCCTTGTTTTTATCTCATATTATTATCCATAGTTGTTGAACTTTCCATTTACCGATTATTCAGTGTAGAGCCCAAACAAAAGTTTTTGGTTTCCGAAACATCTGTCGATGAAGACTGAGAAAATGCACTATAAATATTTCCATTAGATATGTTTGAAAATTGAGTTCGAAAATAGTCAAAAGGTAACTGAAGCACAGCACCTAAAGAATAAATAAAACCTATAGTCAAAAAAGTAGAGTATTCACTATAACTAAGATTATCAAGTGTTAAGAAACCCAGTCCGAATTTTCTAGATCTGACAGGTATTCATTGATTTAAGCTGATGTGCTTAACTCAGTCCTTATTTAAATCATGAACTTGAAGTGAGTGAAAAACTGAAATTTTATCAAGGATGATTTCTTATACAATGGGAAATTTCCACTATTCAGTGGTAAACATGATTACTTTTTCCAAGTTTTAAGAATCTAAGTAGTTTGGAACTTGAAATTATATTAAACATTTGGTGTATTTATAAATAAATACAACAATCATTTACGACGACAATAATGATCAAAAATCTGGTGAAATAAAACTATCAGCATTGAAGTGAAGCTTCACATGGTGCTATTTTCACAAGATTTGATGCGAAGATTTTGACCACAAATTATACGACGCATACTGAAAAATCGGGTGAAATTAGTCGAAAGTATTATTGAGAGAAAAATAAACACCTATAATGTACAGTGAAAGACTAAAGGATGCGCTGGATTCAAAACTACGACCCGAACAGGCTGGCTTCAGGAATTACAAATCATGTGTGGATCAAATTGAAACACTTCGCATGATCATAGAACAGAGTATAGAATGGCAGTCAACCCTCTACCTCGACTTCATCGACTTTGAGAAGGCTTTTGATAGCGTCGACCGACAAGTAATTTGTCAGGCAGTTGCTTCCACATTATGGCTTTAGTGCCACAAACTTTTATCAATCTTATTCAACAACTATATGAAGACGCCACATGCCAACAAAGTAATTCACAATGGGAAGCTCAGTAATGCTTTTGAAGTGAAAATAGGAGTCAAACAAGGCTGTCACCTACTATCACCCATAATATTCCTGATTGTGGTCGACTGGATCATACAACAAACAGTGAGGAGCGAGAAGAGGGGGATACGCTGGCTGGACCGGGGAAAAAAACCTAGAAGATCTGGATTTCGCCGATGACTTGTGTCTAATGTCACACAAACGTGAAGATCTACAGACGAAAACTAACAAGTTGACAGAAGAGGTGAGGCAGCGAAGACGGGACTTTAAGTGAATATTAGAGAAGACAGAGGTGATGAAGATACCCAATCAACAACAGCATCAACAACAAGCTCCAATCACATCAACAGGAGAAACTTAAAGGAAGTAACCTCCTTCACCTATCTAGGCAGCACTGTTTCAACTACAGGTGGCACAGACGAGGATGTCAAAGTCAGAATCGGAAAACCAAGGCAGGTGTTCACTAGCCTGAAACCAGTGTGGAGATCTTCTACACTCAGCATGTGGAACAAGATCCGGATTTTCAACACCAACGTCAAGTAAGTGCTTTTATACGGTTCAGAAACTTGGCGCGTTACGAAGAGTATTTCCAACAAACTACAGACATTCATCAACAACTGTGTACGCTGGCTCGTTACTGAAGATTAGATGGCCAGAAAGAATAAGAATAAGCAAAAAGGAACTCTGAGAACAAACTAACCAAGAACCTATGGCTGAACAAATATGCAGGAGAAGAAAGTGGAGATGGATTGGATTAAGCATACACTGAGAAGGCCAACTGGGGACATCACGTGCCAGGCCAGTCACTCGAGTGGAACCCAGATGGAAAGTGATGAGTTGGGTGTCCGAGGTGAGGGTGACATGGAGGAGATGGTGTGGGGAAGAAATGAGAGGTTGTGGGCTGTCGTAGAGCCAGGTTGAAAAGATTTCAGAGAAGAGAGTGGAATGGAGACGTGCTACTGAAGCCCTATGGTCCATTACGAACCCAAGAGACAAATAATAATAATAATTATGTACAGTAAACATGTATGCTACAAAATTTTCAAGTTCTGAGAATTGAATACATCTGGAAAACTGTGAAAAAATGCTTCGTGTGTACAAGACCGATATAAGTTGTTTTAGAAGCAAGGAAGTCGCAAACATAAAAACTTGTTAGTTAAGACTATGATATAGTAAATGAAAACCTTTACAACAATATTTTTTCATTCATAATGTGGAACGAATTAATTTAGCGCACAAACATTTCGTTTATAGATGCACAACATCCATAGTTTTCTCTATCAAAATACTGGTAATCAATGCCAATATATCGTAAGATATCGTCAAAATGCTTCCAGTATTGTTTTCTTATATTCTATTGGTCAATAACAATGCATCCTTCGGCGTGAAAAATCTCAAGGATTTCTCAGATCACTTCTCTTTGTTTCACTAAGCACTCGGACAACTTACAAGTAAGTCATAAACAAAATCCGTCTCAGTCGTTCAGCGGCCTATGGATTGCGGCTTTTCCATACACGAATAGGGTATCTAGTCCTCAAAGTGAGCTGTTCTACAAAAGTGACTTTACATGTTCAATCTTTTGACCTTTAAAATGTAAGTATTTATGTCTCTCAGGACTGATATCTTTTGAACACAGTCACATCAGCACTACTTCGGTGACTATCCTGTTTGACCAAAGAAAAACAAAAACTTTTTGAAAATAATTCATGATTCATCAATGAAATTCAATCGCAATGACTCAAATAAGGATGTTACGTGGTGCTAGTTAGTAGACTGTTGGATGCTTGCACTAATCCAAGTTTGATTTCGGTTTTATTAAAATATATCTACAAAAAATACTATATTTTCAGAATTTAATGAAATCCAGAAACTTCAGACTCACTGAACTTAGTCATCCTAAACGTGGTCCTAAGTAAAAAAACTACCTAGCCGTTCCTCATTTTATTTCTGCAATTTTGTTTTCTTAATCCTAGAATGGTTTCACTTTACTAGCTTCGAAGTGCAATAAGTCCTTAGTATTCTGGATTTGTTTAAGCTCTCCAGAAAATTGCACTATGAATCAACTGTATATAATCAGTTAGCGTATACAGGTGGCATCAGAAGAATCAGTAGTTAAAAAAGCAATATGCTATTTTCCACAAATTAGGGTAAGAGAAACATCAATGGAAGAAAAACGAAAATTTAGTTGAGAATTTGGCCTGTGACTCAAATTAAGTTCACCAATGTGTCACAATCACTGATACGGAAGTGTTTTTCGAAGGAAAAAGAAGTGCATATTGAAACACACAGTAGCGAATAGATGACAGAAAATTATCGAGAGTAGGAATGTATTATTACAAAAAGCAATATATCAGCATACAGAAGTCAAACGGAGCCAAAAGAAAAATATTATTAAAATTTCGTGGAACGTCAGCAACGAATACCTGCCTCTAGCTTTGACATGTCTCAACAGTTAGATTTGAACAATAGAATAAACTTATTTAAACACTATACCCTTCTCTGTTTTGATAAAAAAATCAAAAAAATTATAGAACACACAGACTAGAAAATACTTTACTACTTTATCTAGAAAATGTTTGTAAAGTGAAAAGAACATTGTTTACGAGTTCTTAAAATAACTAGAAACTTACTCCTAAAATCTATTTGCTTTTGGATTAGCTGCTGAAGAATAAATGGGTTAATCGTTGGGCCACTGAGAAAGGAGGCATTTTGCAACTGACTTGACATCAACATTGACCTAATAGAGCTGCTTGGGAATCTGAATCCTAACGAAGGTTGACCTATTCTGAAATGATGGGGAAATGGATTGACTTTGGCTGTTAAAATAATTTAAATTCCGATACCTGATTGATTGGCCCGTTCATTGTGACAACAGTAGCTTTTAGTAAACGAAGTTTGATAGGATGGCAGTGAGTAGGATGGAGAAACCTCACTTAGATGTGTGGTGGTAACTTGGACATTTGTTGATCATTAATTTTAGAAACCTACCAGTTTCAGAGCGTTTTGAGCAGAGATTTTTAAATGTCTCTAGATGTTGATTTATGCAAGCATTTGCAGATGCTGCATTAGTCTAACATATCAAAAAAAAAGATTAGAGCAAACAAACCATAGCCTTAAACCAACGTAGTGCCTGGATCAGAACGTTTATATAACTGTTGATCGAACCTACATTCTGTCCCAAGGGTCCAGAAGCAATAAACTGCCGTTGGTATGGAGCAGTTAGTGGGTTGCAATTCACATGAGCAGCAACATCAGTCTTTTTGATATTCGCTTTTCTGCTCATTGAAGGAAACGGTTGATTGGTTGAACCTGAATTGGTTGTGATGTTTAGGTTACTAAGGCAACTGCCACTGACATCTGGCTGTTTGGAGTCAGCACAACCTATATTTAAAATATTCTTCTTATCATGTGAAATATCTGAGTGACAGGGATTGTTCGTACAGGTCTTTTCCTCTTTCTGTTTTTGTGAAGTAACATAATAAGGCACTGAAACGTGACCGAAAAGATTAAGAAGTTTGCCGAATGCCTTCATATCACAACGCTCATTAGTTTCGGCAGGTGTGATTTTCAGCTCAGACTCTATCTCACGCAGTGTTTTTATATTAAGTGATCGCTCTTCTAAATTATATAAGATTAAGAGAAAACAAACCCTGTATCCCATGATCTCTTTTACTATTCTGCAGCAGTAATGACTTCAAATATTCTTCTAATTCCTTGACTGAAAACAAACATTTTGGTGAGGAATTAATAGAAAATTTACAACTTTGATCGGCAGGTTTGCGATCTGATGTGGGATAACCCCCATTATACAATAACTAATTACCTGATAAATCTGTTTGTGAGATGTAAGCATAACTTAATTTGTTTTCTTTCTCATCATCTAGATAAGTATGATAAACTATAAAACTACAGTGTACCTCCAGAAAACATATTATATTCTTGAAGCCCCACGTGATCTTCCACAACACTTGGACCGTGAACATACCACTCTGGCTTTTGTGGTAGCCGACTACGCTGCCGCACAGATGCATGATACTTTGCCGAGTAATCAGAATCCTTCCTTGATTCCACTTCGTTGTTTAGAGTGGTTTCACCTGACTTCTTTTGGGCTCGCACTATTGCTGAGTCGTACAACTCGATCAAATTTGAGGTTCTTTTCACAGAACTGCGTAAGGTGGAGTTAAAAATATTGCGATATACTACATAAATCATAATAATTCCCATCAAATACTTTTTGAGCATTCATTATGTCGTCTTGGCACTACATTAACGACACCAGATAAGGCATCGCTGCATACTTCTGTTTTAATTTTAGAGAATATGTCAAAATCAGGTGGCAAAACTTGAGTTTGTGGACTGTTTCTCAATCGCAGTAGGTCCCTCTATATATATACTAGGGTAAGAACAGTATTTCATTTACCCTTCTGTAAATTCTGCGAGTTGTTTGGCGTTCGCGGAATTCAACAACCGACTTCACAGCATGGTCAATTGAAAACATCTGGGTCATCTCTATGCAACTAACCAACAAAACTTAGCGCGTTTTCCGTGCTATTAGATTCTGCTTAAGTGATATTTGAGTAATTTAAACTCTTTCAATGTTGTTTATAGTATATGATGAGTAAATAAAGATTTCGACCAGTCTTTTACACATAAGATGTAAATAATGAACGTCAAAGAGTGTTGTGGGGATCCAAATCCAATAGGTCGATTGCGTAGACCACCTACTGGGTTTGCTGACAGCAATTTGGAAAAAGGCATACCAAGCAGGGTGAAGCGAGTATCTTCTGGATCCCGCAATCCCAGGTCTGGCAGACCCAGTCTGAAAACTGTTGACCGTAAAACTATCCAACATTCAACATCTTTTTAACGAGCCTGTGTAAACCAGTTGATTTCTTCGCGCTCACTTCTTGGTCTTGCTGAATGGTTCCAAATCTTTGGCGGATTCCGATGCAGTAGATCCAGCCACTCCTCTGCTATAGCTGCGATTTACAGAACAGGAAGTTAAGTGTTGGTTTGCTTGTCTTGTACTGTGGTGCAGTTGGCTTCTTCAGATGCCGAGTTGCCAGACAGTTCGGACTGGTCACTAGAGAGGGTTAGGGATAGTGGAGAGAAAACTTGGAAAGTGTTTGTGTGAGTAAAAGAAGAGAGGAAAAGTGAACTAACGGGGTGATCTGTCTTCACCCAAGTAAGGTGAGTAGGGGTGCAAAGGTATGAAGAACTAAGGTAAGTGAGGCTAACCTATGGCTAGTGGAAGGGGTGAAAAAGGCTTGAATGGTTACGATAGAAAGAAAACTGGTTGGGGTGGCTTGACATCACTCCGTGTTCCAGCTATGTGTGGGTAGACCATGAATCTCTGAATGACTGTCTAGCCTCTTCTTGAAGCTTTCAACAGTTGGGGCGGAGACCACCTCTGCTGGTAGTGTGTTCCAGTACCCACAGACTCGGAGGGAGAAGAACAGTGAACGCACATGCGTTTTTGACCTTTGGTGGGCTATTCTATTGAAGTTTCCTCGAGGATCTCCGTAGTGGCCACCCTTTAGGACACCTCGGTTTGGGTAACTTGGGTTACTCATTATTTTGTAAGCCATTATTAAGTCGCCATATATCCTTCGATAGCTTAGAGAGTATAGGCCTAGGCCTTTCAGTCTATCCTCATGTGGTTTTCGTTGCATTCCAACAACCCCTTTTTGTGGCTCGCCTCTGGACTTTCTCCAGTAAGTTCGCGCCTCTTTTCAGCTGTAATGGAGCGAAGACGTTATGGGCCCCTAAGTGGGGCCGTACGTAGGTCTTGTGGAACTTCAGAAAGAGTTCTGGGGTGAGGGCACCCAGTTGCCTACGCACAAAGTGTAGTGCCACATATGCTTTTGAGAAATCACCTGGGTAATTGGAACTGGTGTCCCATTTCTCCATCACCGTTAAAACCAGGTCTTTTTCTACTGTGGTATGGGATAGACGTGGACCACAGAGATAGAAGGATACTTTCTGGGATCAGGAGTGTGGAAAAACATGAACTGGCACTTATCCAGGTTAAATGCCAGTTCATTATTAGTTCCCCATTCATCTAGTGTTCTGAAGCCCTTCCGTAATGCCATAGATTCCGCTTCGTAAGTTATTGCCCTCCATAACTTGTCATCATTAGCGTATAGGAGAATCGGGGAGCTGATATGTTGCGGCAGGTCATTTACGAACAGCAGGAACAATAGCGGGCCAGGATTGCTCCTTGTGAGACACCGGGTGGGGATGTTCTCCAAGTTGAGTGGACCCTGTTGACTTTCGTGCGGAACTCCCTGTTGTCTAAGTGGTTCTGCAGCCACGTTAGCACCTGATTGCGAATACCTAACCCAGCTATCTTATGTATTAGGATCGTGTGTGAGACGGCGTCAAGGGCTTTGGCGAAGCCCAGAAAAATTGCGTGGGCCGGGACCTTGAGATCCCAGCACGCTGTACAGCGATAATGGGCCATCAGGACGTTGGAGGGATAGGCCCCACCCTTCCGGAAGCCACATTGAGTGTCAGTGAGTGCCCGCTTCGTGTCGAGATATTCCCTGATACGGTCGTCCATCATACTTTCCATAACTTTTGATATTACTGGTAAAAGTGCTATGGGTCTATAACAGTTGGGATTCTGTCCGTCTCCGTTGAAGGTGGGAGAAAGGATAGCCCGTTTCCACTTTCGTGGGAGCTTTTGCTGATCCGAGGAATGTTGGAAGAGGTCGCAGAGTGGGCCACTTAGGGTATTTGCACATTCTTTCAACACAAATGGGCGGACGTCGTCGCACCCTGGGGATTTTCCTGCGCTTAGCTTTAGTAGCTTGTCGGGAACAACAGCGAAAGTTATCTGTATTTCGTGTAGCTCAGCAGCATCGGGTAACGTTGGGGGCTGTTCGTGCAATTGGTATGCACACTTTCTTGGTGGAATGTTGAGCCGTGTGTCAAATGTGGTGCTCAGCATTTCGGCAATCTGTCCGGAAAGGTTTTCCCCGTTCGGACCTTTTACGACACATGCTCCTTGGCTTGTCGATTTTCTTTTTGCCATGGATCGGCGAAGGTTTTTAGGTCCACTTCAGATGAAAGAAACAGCAGTGGGGCGCTCTTAGTTCAGACGACAGAACCACGCAGGCTGCAGGTCATACATAGTTCGGCGGCCCAATCACTGACATAACTAACACAATGGGATGCAAACCCGTGCTGAGGCTCTCAGTGTCAAGGCCACTGGACCAGGCTTTAGTAAACCTTGCATACCCGACTCTGAAGAATGGCAAGTAACCAAGCCGAAACGGCATGCTAAGAAGCCAATAACGGTAACCGAGCCAGCTATCATCGTCACTCCCCACAGCAAGGAAAAAGTAGGGCTCCTTGACAAGTCCGTAATTTTCCACAGAGTGAAAGGAAGTAGAGACCTAGAACCAAGTAAAGGTTTCGAACACTACCTTGGCAAGGTACAAAGTTTGATAAACCGGCTTTCGTCGGAAAACATACCAGGAGTCGCCCCACTCAAGATATATAGAGTAGGAAAACAGGGAACAGTCATTACTGAAGATCAGTTTCGGCTACTTAAAGTCGTATTCAAGTCAGCAGACGAGAGGAAACAGATTCTGAAGAATGCTGACAAGCTTGAAGGATCCGGAGTGTTAGTGTGGAAGGATCTGGTTCTTGCTGGTCGAATCAAAAAAGAGAAGCAGAACTAAAATCCAGATTAGCAGCTGGAGGGCGAAATCTGAAAGTAGTGGATTTCATGTGGTGGGGTTTCTGCGGTAAATGATGCCGAAGACTCTATGGACAGGACGGAAACTCATTTAAGTAGTTTCGTTGTCTTGTACACAAATGCGCATAGTTTTTTAAACAAGCGGACTAAGCTTAGTAATTTGATCAGCAAAGAAAGCCCTGACGTCGTTGCTATCTCAGAAACTTGGCTTTCTTCTTGGATTAGCGACTATGAAACACACTTATGGGGATTTGTCCCTTTTAGAAGTTAGGTTAGCACGCAAACGTTATGCCATCCTTCACGTTAAGAGTAACTTAACTGTAAAAGCCGTAGAAACAGTTGCACATGATAGTGAGACATGTGAAATGCTGCGCTACCGACCAAAAAGCGAGGGGTAATATGTTAACGTAATCGTAATACATCGAAGCCCAGAATGTGGTGCATCAGACCTCCCCCTGAATAGGCTGAATCTCTGGGTAGATGAATACTGATGATCAGTTGCGAGAAATTTCAACGCACCATCAAATGGCTAGGATGGGATAACGACAAAAGCACCACGAAATTCGTTTGACCACCGGTTAGTAGAAACGTCAACTTCCTTAGCCGCCATACGGCATATTAGGACACCAAACAAGTATGACTATCAGCATGCTCCATCAGTTCCGGACTTGGTATTCTCACATGCAGAAGATATGTGTTTCATCCGGCACCTAGCACCCATTGGCAGAAGTGGTCACGCTGTGACCATCTTTAGATTCACAGCAGACGTCCGATGCCGCAGCTAGACCCAACAGATGGAAAGCGTCACCTTTCAGGCAAGGATTGACCGCCTGCGTACAGTTTTTTAATTTTGACCTGGCTAAGGATGTGTATAAGATGGTGAACATGTTACCACTGATTTTCGTAAACGTTCTACGTAATGCCGAGAGAGTCCTAAAACTCTGATCCGCTGCCGATCGACTGTGAGAAGTAGTTTTTAAAATCATAACTAACCGTGACTCCTATATCACTGTGGGTCAGTACTGACGGTAAAGGAGTCCCATCAAGATCGTAGGTATTGCTGTATGTGTGCTCCGAGTGCATGCTCACACGTTTACTTGCATTCACACGCCTCAGCCACTTCTCTGGCCACGTAAGAAGCTGTTCAGGTCTGCCTGAAGCGCACGCACATCCTCATCGCCCCCAATTTCTTGCAGATTGTTACATCACCAGCGTAAAGAGCCACCGGGGGTTTTTGTGACATTTGGCAGCTTATTTATGTGTGGGAGAGACAGTAGAGGGCCCCGGACTGTGCCTTGCGGCACTCCACTCTCTACCGACTTCCAAGTGGAGAGGTGGGAATTGATCGTAACTCTTTGTCTCCTACCAACAAGAAAGTCTCTTAACCACGGGAGCAGACTGCCAGTGATTTCAAAACTGCCCAGTTTTCCGAGCAACCTGAAATGAGGTGCTTTGTCGAACGCCCTAGTAAAGTCTAAAAAAATAGCATCTACAGGTATCCTATCATCTTTAGACCTGGCCCAATTTTCTCTGGCTGTAAGAGGGTTCGTCGAGCAAGAGAAATTTCTATGAAAACCACGCTGTGAACGGGACAGCAGAGTGTTGCTCTCCAGGTGGACTATGGTAGTTTTCTTGATTACCCTTTCTAGGATTTTCACTACAGTACTGGCCAAACGTATTGGCCTGTAATTTGATGGGAGTTGCCGAGATCCTGCCTTATGGATAAGCGTGACTGTAGCATCCTTCCAGTCACAGGGGAGCTTGTCTTCACTGAGAGACAGTCCGAATATAGTAGTCAATGGGCCGGCCACTTGGAGCGCAAGCTCTGTGAGCAGCCTTGGCTGCAAGTCATCCGGTTT